CCCTTTCCAATCCACCGTTCTGTCCATCGTAATTGTACTACCGGTGGTGTCGTCGTTCCCACATCCATAGTCTCGGTCGAACTCCTGGTCCTCCACGTCCTTCACCTTCTTTCCCTGTGCACATTTTTTTTTTATGATTAATCAAAATTTCATTAAGCACTAGGATTTGCAACTGCATAACACATTTCACACGCTACTTCAATACGTTTTACTTTTTCTTCTTCTCAATATATATATATATATATATATATAAACACGCTCACCCCTGTAGGATTGCGCACAAACCCTTAGCTCCCGTGCTAGCTTCCTACGACATCGATTTGTGATTAGCCGGCTGACACTAATGTCAATTCCTTGACCTATTAACCGAGCAACAACATCGCTCCTAAGCCCACAAATAGGATCAAATAGAGAGCAATGGGTCAGTCACATCCGACACAATTGAAACTATGCTTGGATGATAATTCGCCTTGATCCATCCCACCTTCATGTTATTAAAATGGCCTACGTTGTTTGTGTTGATTTAGAGGTTTTTGTATGCAATCATCGGTTCAACAGTTAATTTATTAGAGTCGAACTTTAAACTAAATGTCGGGTATTACATTTTATACCTGTCTTTCCATTGCTTTGGCCACAATTTAAACTCAATCATCTTATTTAACACAAGAGAAAGTAAGAGACAGAATTATAGTTTACTTAACACAAGATCCTCCAAAATACAAGGCCCAATTTTACTTTCGTTGGCTTAAGTCAAATCAATTGGAATTAGGTTCACCTAAGGAACACATACTAAAGATCCTGGTTTTAGCAGAATGGGCTTACAAGCCCAATTACTTTTTGTTGCAAGGGATGTACTAGAAAACCCTATTCAATTAACAAAATGATTTAACCCAACTAATTTTACTTGCAAGTAAAACGGTTGAGTTTTTTTTTTTCATAGATAGGGAATGTTCTAGATATTACAGGACACTTGACAACCACACGCGACAGTCGACAAGTAGCCGAACTGTCGATGAAAGGGCATTAGAAGCCACAAAATGGGCAGCCTGTTGTACAATATCGGAGTAAAATTACAATAAAAAAAACTAAACATCGTGGACGCCGAACAAATCTCCTCCAAGATCGCACCGCCAGTTCCATGGGCAACATCCCTCGTCCGTAACCTGCGAATCAAAGGCTGGCAATCGCCACAGAAATTGTCCGAAACAAACCCATGCATGACACACCAATTTATCGCATCTCGGATAGCTAATAATTCTGATATAAAAGGTTCAGACACACCTGAATAGTATCGCCCGAATGCAAATAGCAGTTGGCCGATGTTGGAGAAGCCGGCGAATCCTATTCTGCCCCCCGCATCCTTCTTCCAAGCGCCATCAAAACGGACAAGAACACCATCAGGTGGACAAATCCCTGCCGGCGGCGAACTACTCGCTTCCTGGCCAGATCTCCGCCGGGAACTAGACGCCCCACCACCAGTCCTGTGGAGAGTCAATGGCGAGGACGCGTGTTGCCACTCCTCAACCTGTGCGCGGAATTGGCGAGACGGGGGTTGCCTCAAGTATTGGATGCGCTTATGTATTGCCCAGCAGCGCGATTTCCACACTCGCCAACAAAGGAAAACAACTTCAGCAATATCAGTCTTGGATAGACGACATGCAAAAAATAAAACATTCCAACAATCAGAAGGCGACAAACCCTCTAACCTCCTTCTTAGGCTGCCCAGCCCAGCAAGATCCCACAGCTCCATGGCCACCCGACAGTGGAGGAAGGAATGAGCAATAGTCTCAGCACCATCAGAGCAGACCGGGCACGTATTCTCTGTTACCAGCCACTTGATTTGAAGCACTGCTCGAACTGGAAGAAAGCCTCTGACCACTCGCCACAAAAAAAATTTCAATTTAGGCGGGAGTGGTAAGCTCCACAGCACCTTCCAGAACCTGCAATCATAAGGCAACGGAGAGAGAGGGTGAACAGCCAGCAGCTCATCAGTAAGAACATGGTACCCGGTTTTTACAGTGTATTCTCCCGTTGGAGAATGATGCCAAATGAGCTTATCTGGAGAGGCCTGCATCGGTAAAGGAATAGAAAGAATTAAGGTCACCGATGCTGGCAAAAAGAGATTAGTCAGAAGCTCCACATTCCAGGATCGGGAAAAGGGGCAGATGAGGTCCGAAACAAAAACCGGACAGAAGTTAACATGCGGCAGCAACATAGGAATGGACAGAGGGTTTGATGGGAGCCAGTTGTCTGCTAACACTTGCACAGTAGATCCATCCCCGATCCGCCAACGTAGACCGCGCAAAAGCAGATCCCTCCCGGCTAAAATGCCTTGCCACGCCCAGGATGGCCTTGGTCCCGATGTCGCCTCCAAGAATGAAGTATGGGGATGATATCTCGCTCGGTATAAGGATGCTAACGTGGAGTCCGGATTCATTAGTACCCGCCAAGCTTGCTTAGCCAGGAGTGCAATGTTGAATCGTTCAAAGTCCCGAAAGCCTAGTCCCCCTGCAAACTTACTGAGACACACTTCCTGCCATGAAAGCCAGTGCATACCATCTTCTTTGTCCTGATCCGCCCACCAAAATCGAGAGAGCTGGCCATTTAACCTGAGACAAGTGTAAGAAGGCAATCTAAAAGCAGACATTGTAGTTTTCCACGACCTGATCCTAGATGCTAGTCCCTCCTCAACAAACCTAAAAGTCTGCGTCTTAGACCTTTGGATATGTATTGGCAGCCCTAAGTATTTGTCAAACAAACCAGAATCCGCCACCCCCAGAAAGGATCCCAAGGCCATTCGTTTCTGGTCAGAAACATTAGAGCTAACACACATAGAAGACTTAGCAAGATTAACTTTTTGACCACTAACCCTCTCCAACTCGTCCAACAAAGACAGTAAATTAGCACATTCCGGCAATGAGGCTCTCAATAACAGGTAAGTATCATCGGCAAACAATAAATGCGAAGTTAAAGGCGCATGCCGATGAACCCGCAAACCATGTAAATTCGCAGCCATGATCTCACTAGACAGTTTAGCCGAAAAGGCCTCAGAATAAATAGCATAGAGAAGAGGCGAAAGAGGATCACCTTGACGCAATCCCCGTTGGGGCTTGAAATATCCGTGGGGATGCCCATTAATTAGAACCGAGAAAGAAACAGTGGAGATACAAGCAGAAATCTAACGCCGCCATTCATAACAGAACCCCATCTGTTCCATAATTAGCAACAGGAATGACCATTCGACCCGGTCATAAGCTTTTTCCATATCTAGTTTAAGTGTCATCCACTTATCTCGGCCCTGCACTTTAGTTTTCAGAAATTGCATAACTTCTTAGCCAATCAGTATATTGTCAGTAATCAGTCTACCACGCACAATACCATTTTGAGTGGAGCTCACAACATCAGGTAAGACCACACTGAGCCTAGCAGCCATAAGTTTAGCAATGATTTTATAAAATACCTGACACAAACCTATGGGTCGAATTTGACGCATCGATTCGGCATTCATCACCTTCGGAAGTAAGGAAATAAGGGTGTGATTAAAGCTGTGCAAAAGCCGACTAGAGCTAAAAAAGTTGAGGACTGCATCCGTGATCAACGGCCCCACCACCTCCCAATGAACTTGGAAAAAAGCTGCTGTGAATCCATCGGAACCGGGGGCCTGATGGCTGCCAATCCGGAACACTGCCTCCTTGACTTCCAGAGTCGAGACAGGAGCTATCAGAGCATCATTCATCTCTCTCGTGACTCTGCTAGAAAGGCCCAAAGAGTCCATATACGACGAGGCATCTACATTGCTAGAGGTGAAAGTAGATTGATAAAATGGTATAGCTATACCTGCCATGGCCTCTTCATCATGATGTAAAGTTCCAGCCTCATCTCTTAGCCCTCTCAAACGATTAAAGCGCCGTCGCTGGAGAACCGTGCGGTGAAAGAAATTGGTGCTGGCATCCCCTTCCCGGAGCCAACCCACTCTCGATTTTTGCCGCCAGAAGCATTCCTCTTCAATGTATGTTGTCGATAGGTCCCGTTCCAGTTGGCGGATAGCATCCCAATCCACCATTGCTGCCTTGCGAAGATCCTCAATTGCAGACCTGAGCTCCCTAATACGCCGGGACGAATTTGAAGTACCCAATCTCGCCCACTCCACCAGGTCATGACGAACCATTTTAAGCTTATTAAATTCTCGGAACTGAATAGACCCACGCATAGGTTTTTCCCAGGCCAATTGAATTATATCCATTGCCTCCGAATTGGAGTTCCACCTCCCATCAAACTGGAACCTGGTATGTCGATGCTGCCCCTGTTTAGTGAGCTGCACAAGAAGCATCCTATGGTCAGAGCCCAAGTCAGTGAGGTGAATTACCTTCAAGTCCGACCATTCTGCCATCGCCGATGTACTTCCAAGACATCTATCCAACCGCTCTAGAATGTGCTCCCCACCTGCCCGTCGATTCGACCATGTGAAAGGGGATCCCTGAAAACCTAGATCAACAAGTCTAGTAGACAGTATAAACTTATTAAGTTGATCTAAGGCAGCAAAAAAAAGGCACATTCCCCCATCTTTTCATTTGTAGAAAGTAGACAATTAAAATCACCCACCACAAAGGATGGTAAAGAAACAGACGAGAGTAAATAGGCTATTTCATTAAGCTGACACTGTCGAACAGCAACATCACACGACAGATGTACAAAGACAATGGCTAAGTTCCCTTCAGTTGGAACGACACACTCCACAAAATAATGAAATGACGAAAGCTGATGCACTGTACAAGACACATGATCACCCCAACCAACAGCTAACCCACCACTCCCATTAGACGCACTAAAACATCTTGCTGATTTATAACCCATACTAGCAAATTTGGACTTGACAAAATCATCTTCCCTTTTTGTTTCGCTGAGGAAGACCAGATTAGGCAAGAACCTCGCCACGGCTCCACCGAGAGAGGGAACTGTCAAGGGGGAGCCCATCCCCCGACAATTTCACACCATAAAACTCATGGGTGGGGTTGGGCCCAGCTGAGGCTGGATGCCACCACCTTACCATGGAGAAAAGAGATTGTCTCCGCCGTCTCAGGACCTGAACGTGCTCTTTTGGCTGCAGGAGAAGAAGAGTTGGGGACAGCACCTTCAGTCATGGTAGCGTCCTCCGCTAATTGAGTTGCTACTTCATCACTAGGCCCCGAATTCGACGGAGTAATCGCGAGCGCTTGAAGATCGGCTCCCATCAGTCTCGGGGAGGGGCGACGAGTATCCCGCCATTCACCAGCAACACCTCCCTCCTGGGATGCCAGCAATTGGGGAAGAGCCTGACGTGGAGGGGGTTCCTTGAAGCTGCCGCTATTCCTTGATGGAGATGAGCGAGTCTTGGCTGCACGGATCCAAGTGAACCGTCGGCTTCGCTTTGACAGGGTATCCTCCGTCATTGGTGACCCTGACTCGGTGGCCACCGAGAACACCCCATACTTTGGAGTAGCGCCAGCCATCGCCTCCTTACGAGGGCAGTTCTCTCCAATGTGCCCAATTACACCACAAAGGAAGAAAAAGTGAGGGACCTTTTCAATTTTAACAGAAGCCACAAAGTTACCTCGAGCCAAATCGACGTCCCCAGCAGTAATCACATCCGGCAAAGGGGCAATGAGATCGAGGACTGGAGCCGCCCTAATGTACAGCCCACCCGAAACATCAGAGCGGTGGAGCGTGGGAGAATCGTTGAGCACCCCAATGGAAGAACCCAACCGCCAGGCCATTTTCTCAATGAAACACTCAAACGGCACCTTCCAAAGCTGTACCGCCATTGGAGCCCAACAAAGACGTTCAGCCACCTCAGGAGATGGGTCTTCCCACCGTGCCAGAACCAACATAAAGTTGTCAAAGATCCAGGGGGATTTGGTAACCGCCTTATATAGGTCAGCCTTCAGCGAAAAGAGGAATTGGGTCAAACCCTCATCTACGGCGGAGATTGTGAGATCCCCTTTGTACCGCCACACACGGCCCAACATCATCCTTAGTGCATATAGCGGCGGAGGTGCACGAATCAGCCAGCCGATCAGGGAAAGCTCCCCCCGGGCAAGCCCGGCCGCCAAATCCTCGTCATCGAACTGTACCACTGCCATGGTCGAAGAAATCCAAACAAAAGAGCAAGAAGGCGAGTGAGGATAAGCACAAGCAATACACACACTACCACCCCCCAGCGGCCAGAGATTTATAGCCATGCAGCTCCAGAGAGCCAGGCCCCGTCGCCGCACGATGGCGGAAAGCCCGAAGGGCATCAGCGCACGAAGGCGGTTACCGACCCACTTCTCCGAAAAGAGAGAGCACGATCGCGGGAGCTTTTTTTTTCCTCCTCACCTTCCAAATGCCGTTGATTTTAATTTCAAATCACTAAGTTTCCCTCCTTTGCAATTCGAAGAAGCCATGTTTAGAACCCAGGCAAGAGCAAAGTACAAACACACCAACAACACAAAAACTAAACCCAAAAAAGATAGAACAATCTTAAATGAAACCAGGTCGTTTGGCGATACACCTAGCCGGTTCCAGTAGTTTCCCTGAACTCATCTTCCTTAGCAATTCCTGGTCGAGTTCCTCTGCAATCACAGACTGAAACAGAGCACACACACATACTATTCTGGAACTTAAACTGAAATGCAGAATAAGAACACGACACATGTTTTTTTACGTGGTTTCCAGTATTGGGAGAATAAGGATCCCATTACTGACTACTCCACAGTCGGAGACTCACGATTGTGTGATCTCCAATGATTCACTAATGATCTTGCGTATGAAATTCGTCGTAACAATATCTACCCAAGAACACTTTGCTCAATATGTACCTCATCGATCAAAGTCACTCACATAGAACCCCGAATTGCTTCCCCAAAAACTACACTCAAAAAGTTCCTTCTTGTTTAGCTAGCGTTGTTGATCTCCGAAAAGGTTACCCTTGCTGGTTCTTTTAGTATCCTTTTGATAGACAGGAATATGAACGTTAGTCATTCAAATTCCTTCTCTATTTGTGATGATTTGCTTGAGGACTCAATCTCCTAATTTGATTTGCAGTGAGTTGGATGTTGGAGCCTTATTGTGCTCTCTTGCACTAGTGTAACCAATCTTCTTGATATGATTTCTTCTCTAATTTTCAGCTATTGAAACAAGTGGCGGATCCAGGGGGTGGCCACCCCGGGCCACGGCCCAGCCCTCCTCTAGATCCAGAACTAGTATAGTCCTTATGCGTTTATCGATTTTAGTCATTCGGGCCAGTGTTATTTATAATAAAATTGTGTGTAATTAGGAAAATGGATAAGATTAGCATATTCAAATCATAACTCTAAATTTAGTCTAGAAATTCTAGCTCAAATGAGTCTCGTCTAAAGAAAAACAAACAATGAAACCTAAAATTCTAAAAGTCTAAAACGTAAGGCTAAAAGAAATATGTGATTTGTTCACTTGAAAAATAACTAGAGCAGATGGTGGAAATAGGGATGGATACACAATACAAATCGATTAGTCGATTGATTTGTCCAATGTTGACATTGTCCGTTTCAAAAGCTGGAGAGAACCTTTTCAACAATGGAACAGGTGAAAAATGATTTGCATAACAAAATGAGCGATGAATTTCTCGCCGATTAGTTAACTATTTTATTTGAAAAAGAGTAGCATGCGATTAGTATGGATGTAGATTGTAGACTCCTTTATTGATGAATTCACTATATTAAAAGATCGACTTGTACAATTGATATTGTAAAAAAAATATAATTTTTTACGGTATCTAGTTTTCTAATGAAATGCGGCCCAGTGCTCTACTATATCCTGGATCCGCCGCTGATTGAAACCTTCCTTCCATGTTTGCTCCTGATCTTCCTTTCCTTTTCAAGTGGCCATTGATTTCAACAAGATCCTCTGAGCCAAATGATAACTGCGTTACTACAACTTTTTCTAGGTTGATCTAGGTAATTGAATTTGTTTTAAGGCATATATATGTCCCTTAGAAACCTATCTTTGTTGTAATGTTATATGTTATTGTTCATACGTCTGATAAAATTTGATATAATTTATAAGTGTATGAATAATATAATGAGTATTTTCATATATCTGGGCTAAACCAGGCTAAAGCAGTTGGCCCATTAACCCTCAACTCACTTGCTCGACCAGGCCAACGGTCTAAACTAGGTTGACAACCTTGGCCAAAATAGAGGTCCAATAATCACAAAAGTTTATCGTCGTGCCACCGAAACATATTGTGACAAGACATTTAAAATTTGTCATAAAAAGTTGTTTCGAATAGGTAGTTTTGACGAACGTTATGACAACATTTTTCTTTAAAATAAAGTTATTATGCCAAAAAAGTTCACCATGTGACATTTCCCTAAATTGAATGGTTGAAGAACCTGAGCGCTGTATACACACAGCTAATATTGAAAATTACAATCTTAACTACGCTATCATATCTCATTGGTGGCGCTTTCTGTGGTGCAGTTCCAACTTTTCAACCGTGGGATCTCATGCATTAAATGAGGACCATTGATTATTAATCATCACTTAACCAGAGGTGGTTGAACCTTTGGTTGAACCTATTTATATTAAATAATTTTATATAATTATATTATGTCTATTAACTGTTCCGCAACAAAAGATTATTATTTATTAGTCACAAAACGTTATTTGTTATTTTATGCTTTCTCTTTCCCACAAAATCCTGCTTCAAGTTTATCAGGAAAACCAACGAACACTGCGTGTTCTCTAGATAGCCGACGAGAAAGTGTAGAACGTGTTCTCTTGATCGACGACGGGAAAGTGTAGGTCAACAACGCCGATGGAATTGGCCGTTTCAAGTTCATCTTCTTCACCGTAGTCTGATCACACAACTCTTATAATTTGGACAGCAAATCAGATGGTAGACATTGAATTGGAAGGGTAAACTGAATAAGCAAATCAGAGAGGGGATGAGCTTGCTGACGATGGCGATTTCGAGTGTGTTGGGATTTTAGTGGTGATGCCGACTAGCGACAACAACAACGATGGTGGTTGATTGGCACAACCGAGACGATGATGGGATGACCGGCGGCGACGACTGGGTTGATGGCGGTGGTGAAATCGACTCTCCGGGATTTGGGATCTTGGTGGTTCTGGCCGATCGGCGGCTACGGGTTGATTACGGTTGTTATTTTGCCTGACAAAGTTCGGATCTTGGTGGTGATGTCGATCGACGACAACAACGATTTGGTGGGTTGCTGCTACAGTACGGACCATATATTTACAATGGATCTGCGTTTTGTTTTTTTTTACATTTTTATTTCTTTTATGTTTTATTAATTAAATAATTAAACCAGAGCTACTCAATAAATCAGAAACCCAACCATCTTAACCGGTTAGGATAAAGTGACCGCACTAGTGTCGTCACTGCACCATAGAATTCCCCCTCATTGGTAAAAAGAAAGAGAAACTCTATTGGGATTTCCTACGGTAATTTGAAGTAAGGTAACTTGACTTTTTTTACCTGCTATAACAGGTTTCACAGTTCGCATTACGTAAAATACAATAGACATTACGTAATGGTTATGTAACGTATAGTAATTATACGTAACAGTTATAAAAGGTCATTACGGAAGTCTTACGTAATGGAATGTCCTTTTACGTAATGAGTATTAACCTCGTTTTATGTAAAGTGCTAAGTCATTACGGAAGCCTTACGTAACGGTGCTGATATAACTGTTACGTAAGAAATAACTGGCATTCGTAACCTTTACGTAATGGAAGGTTCTTTTACGCAATGAGTATTAAACTCATGTTACGTAAAGTGCTAAGTCATTACGGAAGTCTTACGTAACGTTTTCGATTTAACTATTACGTAAGACAAAACTATCGTTCCGTAACCTTTACGTAATGGATGTATATTTTATGTAACAGTTGTAAAATATAATTACGGAAGCCTTACGTAATAGAAGGTCTTTTATGTAATGAGTATTAACCTCGCGTTAAGTAAAGTGCTAAGTCTTTACGGAAGCCTTACGTAACGCTTTCGATTTAACTGTTACGTAAGACATACTATCGTTCCGTAACCTTTACGTAATGTATGTGTATTTTACGTAACAGTTGTAAAATGTCATTACGGAAGCCTTACGTAATGGAAGGTCTCTTTACGTAATGAGTATTAAACTCGTGTTACGTAAAGTGCAAAGTCATTACGGAAACCTTACGTAATGCTCTTAACTATTATTTAAGAAATAACTATCGTTCCATAACCTTTACGTAATATGTGCATATTTTACGGAACCGTTGTAATGTATCATTGCATGAGTAAATAAAAAAAATTAATTTAAATGATAAATAATAATAATGTTTGTTTATTTTTTATAAATAGTTGAAAATGAATGAAACATCAGCAAACCTTTCTCAAATTTATTATTCAAAATCGCATGTATTTTCTTGGTAAGATGGTTTAAATGATACTATAAATGACAAATTAAATGACAAAAAATGTTGCTTCGGCACTAAAAAAAACTTTCCAAAAAAAGAAAGATTAAACCTTCCATTACCATCGGCCCAGCCCAATTAGACCAATCAGACGGTAACTTACGGGTTCAGCCGGTAGTCGCTATTTTCTGTTTTTTATTTTATTTTTAATCAATCGTCTAAAGTGAATTTAATATGTTTTAATGGTCTAGATCTAAACAAGTTACTTAATTTGAAAATATACCCAAGTTACGATAGGAGATCCCAACTAGGGCTGGGAAAATAGACCAGACCGTTAGAAAAACCGTGGTCCAAACCGTACCTCACAGTTTGGTCCGGACCGTAGACCGTTAAGTATGGTCTGGTCTGGTCCATGGTCTGGTTTATTTTATGTTTTGATCTCTTGGTCTGATCTGGTCTAGACCGCAGTTTACCGGACCAAACCGTGGACCCAACCGACTTGTCAATACGTGTTAATAGCCCATTCGATAGGGGTGGGCATTCGGTCGGTTCGGTTTCGACCGAACCGAAATTATGAATACCGGGTCCCCGAATTCTCCCAAACCTCAAACCGAATTCGAACCGAATTATAATTCAGTCCGGTCGGTTTAAACCGAACTGTAATTCGGTTCGATTTGGGTTTTCACACAAAACCGAATTTGTG